GAAACATATCCTCCTTGGACAGTTCATTTCTTCTTTCTTGTGAGTGGTCTGACTCCTGCCGCTGTGTGCTGCACCATTCCTCTCTACTCTGTACATAGCGTGAACAATAATCTCTACATGTCTGCAGGTCTTCAAATACCACTTCTCCAGCTTGGTCCTCAGCAAAAAGCCCTGCGGGCAAACGCAAGCTGTCATACAGGAACAGATTGAAGTTGAACCGCATTCTATCTTCCAACGATACCGCCAGGCCAGACGGGAAATACGGTGCGACAAGGACCGGTGCCACATCCCTGCTTGTGGATGGCTGGTTGTCTAAGGCCACATGCAGCATTGGTGAGTCCTGGGGTTGTGTTTCGTCATCAATGAACGAGCTTGAAGGGCTACAAAAAAAGGGAAAAACAAGACATGAAAAAAATTAAAAAAACATGACAAGCCTTGCTCAAGAGCTACTTCTGTTTCCTTTTTTGAACGTGGGTGAATCCTTGTTTACATTTTTTGCCTCGTCATCATCATCATCTCGCCAAGAAATAAGATGAAATTTTTGAATGTGGAAAGAGCATATGAACCATTTCAGTTATCTCTGACAATCTGAGCCCCATCGATAGATAACAAACAGTTTCCCAGGAATTCTCTTTTCAAAACCCCAAAATTTACAGGGAATGCATGAGCTCGTTGATGTTTTGCCTGCAAGTGATTTTGCAGTTTTTTTTTTTTTTACTTGTGGCCAATTTCTTTGTGATTGATTGCAAGGAGTCCAAACTTGCACTCTTTGGTATACAATCTCAAGTTCTCCAGTCGAGTACTACAAAAGTTGTAGAGTATTTTATTTTGCCCTGTTCCTTGCACAGCAGTTCTCACTTTTATGTGCTCCGTTCATCAGATACAGTGGACAAACCCAAGGCACATGTCAAGTGCAATCTGTTTCCTGGCTAAGTTTGAGCAATTTGGTTGGAATTTTGCAGTAGCCTGATGGCTAATCTGATGTAACACCACCGAAACTATCTTTGGCCGAGTTGAAATTTAATTCGACAATATTGAGCACATGCTTTTTTGAGAACTACTGGGGCATGGATTATAATTATATTAACAAGGCTACAATAATAATAATAATAATAATAATAATAATAATAATAATAATAGTAGTAGTAATAATGATAATAACATTAAGAAGAATAACAATAATTCTGATGATGATCTTCAACCAGAGCAGTAGATGCCCTTCAAAATCTGCAGCCAGCTAAATTGGTTCCGGTGTTCAAGAAATATTGTGGCAAGATTAAAAAATACCAGTAACTGGGGAGAAAACACTTATGTACTATTATCCTTGTCAACTCCCAGGGGGAGGGGAGGGGTGTCTCTGCCCGAAAGGGGCGCCCCTTCCATGATTCGAGCATGTAAAAGGGCAGTGATGATCGTGTTTTCTTCTGAATTTTTGAAACCTTTGCCAGAAATAAAGGAATAGACCAACAGACATTCTCTGTGCCAATAAGTGACTCTGGGGGAGTAGATAGAATCTAATATGTGCCCACTAAGTCAAATTTAATATCATACCTTTCCTGGCTTGGATCTTCCTCGTCTCGAACGGGAACGGGATCAAGACGGGAACTGCAATGCGAAAGAGAGTCGTCGCTAAGTACACCAAGTAAAAATCAAGCGTGTATGTTTGTACAATGTATAGTACAAACGCAAAATGAAAACAAACATAGACAAAAACCAAGAAAGAAGAGGCAGAGACGACCGCAAATAGAACAGCTTCCAAATGAATACAATGAATGCAATGATTGCCTACTGGTCGTTTCACTGGGTGCGTTTCACCTCGGGGAACAACGACAAAAAAAAAAAAAAAACCAAACGAACAAGAAAACAGAACAGAGCACCATGTGTATTTTAGCGCGTTACCGACCTGCGACTTTCCGCAGCTTGTGTTTCTATAAACTCCCAACCCCTTGCTCTTTTGGAACGTTTCCTTCTGGGTGGCATGTTGAACGACCTTAACTGTGTGAGTTGATATGGGGAATGAGCTGAGGATCTCAGCTGGGACGTGTTTAAAAACAGGACCGGGAAGAGGGAGACGTGCCTAGGGTTCGTGGGTTTTTTCGACGAAGTCACGCAGATATTTAGGATCAAAGTTTAGGACCCTCGAGCGAATTCCAGCAAGCTAAAACAGAAAAGAGAGAAGCTACGAACACTCGAGGACGATTATTTGATGAGAAATTGAAAATCGACGATGTATTAGGTCAGGTGTCGTGACTTATTCACTTCAACAAACGAGGCGCTCGCCATTACTCGCGTTTCGTGCCTACATGACAACATGGCTGCAAGTTTCCAAATATGGCACCGGAAGTGGAGGTCTCTATTGTGTTCGCGCAGGTTCTGCGCGTACACAATGAATGATTGATAGCCCTGGCGACTTCCTGCCTTTCCAGGTACGTGACTTTTACACAGGACGTGACTCGAACTGAAAGCAATGTGTGCGAACTAGCGCGTCTTTCCCCTTGTACTTTGGTCAACGCGGGACGGCAAGGAGTTAATTCAATGAAAATCTCACCCCGTCGACTTCCAAAGAGAATGAATTTTGCGTGCGACTTATTTCCCGAAAGGAATGAATTCAGTGAAAATTTCACCCCGTCGACTTCCAAAGAGAATGAATTTTGCGTGCGACTTATTTCCCGAAAGGAATGAATTCAGTGAAAATTTCACCCCGTCGACTTCCAAAGAGAATGAATTTTGCGTGCGACTTATTTCCCGAAAGGAATGAATTCAGTGAAAATTTCACCCCGTCGACTTCCAAAGAGAATGAATTTTGCGTGCGACTTATTTCCCGAAAGGAATGAATTCAGTGAAAATTTCACCCCGTCGCCTTCCAAAGAGAATGAATTTTGCGTCCGAGTTATTTCCCGAAAGCATTTTTATCGTGAAAAGGAAAAAAAACACACACACACGCACATACAAAAAAAAACTGACTTTAAATTTGGACAAAACTAAATGCATGCTTATCGGTAGTAATAGGAAACGCGAAAGCAAAGTTGATTTGGCTGTCTCGATTTTAGATCATAGTATAAGTAATGTTCGCAGCTTTAAATACCTCGGCATACATATATCTTCGGATTTCACATGGACTGATCATGTCGAACACCTAACTGGGAAATTCAATCAGAGGCTTGGGCTTCTCGAGCGTATAAAGCATTTTATAAAGCAAAGCAGGGTGCGTCTACTTTTCTATAAAAGTCTTGTTATTCCTCTTTTTTGAATATGCTGATCTTGTACGGGGCGATAAACATAATATTACCCTTACGCCTAGCTTGCAAGTTTTGCAAAATAAGGCCGCTAAAGTTATTTTAAATAGACCATCGTACTCATCCTCCACTGAGGCATTAGCCGTTCTCAAGTGGCTGCCTCAAGAGAAAAGGCCATTTCAAAGAAGGTGTGTACACGTATACAAATGCATCGATGGCTTAATTAATCACGATGTAGACTTGATTAGACGAGACGTGATTCATAGGCATAATACACGTAACAAAGGCAATTTTAGATGACCACGTGTCAAAAGAAATTGGGGGAAGCAAAGAACACGATATCATGCCGTTTCCGATTTTAACTCCCTCGGTCAGACGATCAAAGACTCGAGGAATGTGAATAGTCTTCAACGTAATTTTTTTTAAGTTTTTAATATAGCTACTTGCGTTTAATTTTTACTTACACTTATTTTTAAATTTTGTGCATTTTTTGTATCTTTTGAATCCCTTTGCAACTTTAGAGCTTTGTTGTTTTTACTACATATATCTAGTTTTGAGGTCCTTTTTGAAAACCATATCTTTTCTGAAAAAGTTTCCTCAATGAAGACGATTATTATAACCGCAAACAAATATACGCTACTATTATTTGTGTCAGAGGTGGGGTGCGGCGCGACTCGTGTCGGCGTCACTTAGTGGTAAAGACACTGAGCAGATGGTTCGTTTTTATTGAACTGATTGTCGGTTAATTTGGTCGTTATTCAGAGTGATCGTAGATACGAACATAGTTGCAATGCTTGTCTGTTTGTTTACACTTGTATTGGTTTTGTAATCGGACCTTTCAGCGTCACCGCGCCCATATGCCAAAAGCGAGTTTGGCGTCCCTAACGGTCGCATTTTCGTCGATCGAAGCCCAGGGCACAGGCGGGACCGACAGGTGAGTTACCGGCTCTGTAACTGCGTTTTTCAGCATTGGGCGAAAGTATGCAAACTGGTCTTTCTTGTGGCATTTGTCGGAATTTTCAATGGATTCGAGATTTAAAGGCCAAAATTGTCTCGGATCGGACCTTTCAGCGTCACCGCGCCCATATGCCAAAAGCGAGTTTGGCGTCCCCAACGGTCGCATTTTCCTTTATCGAACCCCAGGGCACAGGTGGGACCGATAGGTGAGTTACCGGCTCTGTAACTGCGTTTTTCAGCATTGGGCGAAAGTATGCAAACTGATCTTTCTTGTGGCATTGGTCGGAATTTTCAATGGATTCGAGATTTAAAGGCCAAAATTGTCTCAGATGCGAGTGAACACCCAGCCAGCAAATTCTTGTCGTTTTGTTGTACCGAAACTTTTGTGCTTGAACGCCGTTTGTATCGTCTGTACCGTACCCAGTTTTTGTCTTTTTGTTGTTGTTGTTGTTTCTTTGTTGTTTTTTTTTTTTTTTGGGATTGACCCTGCTTTACTCGCAAGACGAGACATTCGCGTCAACGGTCAACTTTGGTCTGGCTTGGTTAATGTTCAATCTCGACCCAAACACCAATATAGACAAACACCTCGTTAACCGCGTCTCGAAATCTCACGAATTCGATTTTTAGGTGGCCGTAAGCATCATTGATGGTAGTACCTAGACAACATCGCAAAGTTTTTTGGTTCTGTTTTAACTCGTGTTTATCTTATTTCATCTTATTTATTTTTTATTTTTTATTTTTTCTCTATTTTTTTTCTTTTGAAAGTGGAATTTGGTGAGCGTGTGACTGTTGCGGAATACTGAGACGATGAGCGATATCGAGGGGGGAGATGAAGATCAAAGCTACACTGACTGCTCGGTCGACGGCGACGACAGCCCCCGCTCTCCGAGCCCGTCGGCCGAATCTATGGATAGTTGTTCTCTCCACTCTAGCGACCACGAAGAATGTGATCCCGCCGGCGAGCCCACGCCCGCAGCAAGGCCAGAATCAGCGCCACCCGTTGCAATAAGCCTAGTATCTGACGACGAGGAGCGCGAAGAACACGGTGGTGGAGACGAAGCCCCAAAAGAGCCTCCCGTGGCCGCCCTCTCTCCCAAGAGGGCATCCCACGCGCCGCGTCCAACAGATCTCCCGCCCGCAAACCCGCAAAGCTCCAGGAAGAAGACTGCATCTCAACAGCCGCCACCCGTTGCAATAAGCGCAGTAGTATCCGACGATGACGGTGACGAGCAGCTTCAACCAGGTGATCGCGGAGAGGAAGCACCACGACAGCTTCCCGTAGCCGCCCTTTCTCCGAAGAGAAAGAGGGCGGCCTATCACGCACCGCGTCTCACAGATCTCCCGCCGAAGCTCAAGAGTTCCAGGGAGAAAACCGCACGTCACCACGGTCAACACGTGCTCGCGGCGACAAGGCCGCAACTAGCGCCGCCCGTCACGACCAGCACACCCCACGCTGACGATCGTGTGGAGGAAACCTTACCACAGCCTCCGAAGAGGGCGGCCACATCTCATCACGGTCAACCCATGCCCGCCGCACGGCTGGAAATACCGCCACCCGTCACAACGAGCACACCCGACCGTGAGCAGAAGCCAGGGCATGATCGTGCCGAGGAAACCCCCCCACAGCAGGTTCCCGTAGCCCCCCTTCCTCCCAAGAGGTCGGCCTACGCGCTGCGCCTCACAGATCTCCCACCAGATCTGCAATGGTTCATGCAGGAGACCAAGTCTTTTTTCACAAGGCCTCATGCGCTGGAGAGGCACGGACAGATGCTCGCCGCGAGCACGTTCGACAAAGCCTTGGAACGCATCCTGTGTGAGTATGGTGGCTCCGCATTTTACATTATTTGCTAGTTGCATCGCTCGTGGCATTTTCGGTGATCGAGCACACAAAAAAAAAAGAGAAAAAGAGAAAGAAAGGCAAACCAGATAAGCAAACAGAGGAATGGAACGCGCTCCAATTTTCTGGTCCTCTTTTCATGTTTCTCGGCCATCTATCCTCAGGTTATCTTGGATACGTTCAGCGAATCCGGCCCGGAGAGTCGCCTTCAGTCCAAGACTTCCATCGCGGGGATCTTATCGAAGGATACCTAGACTATCTAAAGGTGGGTATCAAGGTTGTTTTAGAACGTTGCACTTCGAGCGAGGGTAACTTTAACTTTTCGTGGGTATTCTTTCTGGGAATGATGGGAGCCTGAAAGGAAATTGGATGTTTTTGCCAGTGAAAGCGCACAGTCAGCGCACAGACTTTGCTGCATGTTCGCGCACAAAGCGAATTTCACTTTCTCCGAAAATACGGGCTTATATGTAAAGGATAGGAATCCCCCCAAAACAACGACAACGACAGATGATTGTAGATTATCATTTGACCTGCTAAAAGACATTTACGACACGTTGCCATCTCATCTCTACATCAGGAGGAGAGGAACTTGAGTCCTGCGACCCTAAGCGTGCACGCGAGCAGTCTGCTATACCCACTGAAGTATTGCTATCGGGGATTGGGGCCCCAATTCGAAGGTATCCGCATTATCTCCCAGCTCAGAAGAACGGCCACTGTACTTCAGAAGCAGGGGGATCTGGAGAGGGCGACCGCAGTCGAAGATCTCAAAGCGCAAAGCAAGTGGCTGGATTGGTAAGTGTGCTAGTTAGTTAGTGTAAAACAAAACAGAAACAAAACAAAACTGAAACAAAACGTGTCTGTCTTTTAAACATCTTGGACGATCAATCAGGAAAACCGAGGTAGACATTTAAAAATAGTAAGAATCATGATTTGTGAACGCTTGTCCTCGAGGTCTACAGTTCCTGCCTGCCCGCCCGCCCGCCCGCCCGCCCGCCCGCCCTTTTGAGTAAACGACTGCATTCAGAGTTGAAATGCTTGAAAATAAATGCAAGAAGTACAGTTTCAATTGGTAGGAATGAATCGTTTCTAAAAATATTAAAGAAGACTGGTCCCCACTTTCTCTTAAGGGACCAAGTCCTCCTAGCCAGGGAAGCCCAGCGGTGCCGGTTTGAATTGGCCAAGGGCAGACAGCAACGCGCTCAGGAGGCCCGCGACCTGCTGCTTTTGTCACTGTACACCCACCTCCCGCCCAGCAGGGGCCTAGAAATCAGGACGCTGGAGTTGGTTTTGGAAAGCCAACTGGAAGAGCCGTTTCAGAAAGCGCACTATCGTGACAGAAACGTGGCCTTGATCAAGACAGATGGCGACGGCATCGTGCTACACCTCGGAAGGTTCAAAACCTGCAAGCAGAGCGGGCCTGAAACTATTCCCATACAGGTAATTCTTGTCACGACTGACACGAGCAGAGTACGGAAATTAACAAGAGTTCTGAGCACACTTTAATAACAGTCTCTCTCTCTCTCCCCCCGCAGGCAGACAGCCAACTCTGCAGGCTGTTCATACAGTTTGTATCAGAATTCAGAAAGGTGCTTAATCCGACGCTGTGCAGCAACTACCTGTTTCTGGTAAGTATAGGGTTCCCCGTCTTATAGCTAGCTAGCGCGGGCTAAAATTGTCCAACTCATGCCGTCGCCGGGTGAAGTAGCACTCACTTGAAACTAGCTAACTGGTTAGGAATCTTTGGGCCGAAGAGGACTCTTTGAAAACACTGGCCGTGGGTGGCAGTCACCAGATCATTTTGACTCTCACCTATTTCATTTCAGAATTCCAAGGGTGCACCGTACTCGAGCACGTCGTTCACAACACGTTTACAGAAAATGTTCGAACTCCTGACCGGAAGCAAGGTGGCCGTATGCGGACTAAGGTCATCTTTCGTAACCTGGGCATATTCCCAGAGGTAGGTCGACATGGCGTGAATTTTGGAATCTGTTGCTTTAAAACGCCGGCATAGCCACATCGCTGATAACCGTTTGATAGGTTTTTAAACGTTGTTGTTGTTCTCCCTCTGTCTATCTGCAGCGGATGCGACGATCAGATGAAAGACAGCCTTGCTGCTTGTCTCCGGCACTCCCGAGAGCAGGCCCAGACCACTTACGACCGACGCACGGCAAACCAGAGGAAGACCCCGGCATTAGATCTGGCCAGGCGCAAGGCCGAAGAGGAGCTTGTGGCCGGGCCCATGACTAGGTCTCTCCAGCTGTCAGAGCCGGAGATCGACGTGGGCGACTTTGTGGGACTCGTGGCCGAGGGCAGCACCCTACAGAAGCCTTCGATTTTCCTGGGGCGTGTTCAAGCCTTCCTGCCGGAAGGCCAAGCCCTCCTTCTATGGTACAGGCACACCGGAGGTTCTAACTATGCCCCAGACTTGGACGGTGAGCAGTGGGTGGAGTCGAGAGAGTCCCTAGTCGCTGTGAAGGTGGCTGCTGCCAAAGGCAGTCCCTACGCCATGCGACTGCTGACCAGCGTGCGCGAGATACACAAGGCAGTCATGGGCGGGGAGCGGGCATCCTGACCTCAAGGCCGACGGGAAAAGCAAAAGGAAAAAAGAAAAAAAAACCGAACGAGAACTCTAAGAAGAAGATCCGTTTTCTTCGCTATTGTTGTTGTTGTTGGACTTTTGGAAGCCAGAGAGAGTTTTTTTCAGCTGTTAAATAAATAATAAAAAGTGTGTGAATTTGAAAGGTCTCGCGTCAGTCATTCAGTCATTCAGTCAGTCAGTCAGTCAGTCAGTCAGTCAGTCAACTGTTGGTTGTTGTTCGGGGAGCGAGAACGAACCACGATCACCGAGAGAAATCGCAAAGCAATGTGTGCGAACTAGCGCCTCTTTCCCCTTGTACTTTGGTCAACGCGGGACGGCAAGGAATTAATTCAGTGAAAATTTCACCCCGTCGACTTCCAAAGAGAATGAATTTTGCGTGCGACTTATTTCCCGAAAGGAATGAATTCAGTGAAAATTTCACCCCGTCGACTTCCAAAGAGACTGAATTTTGCGTGCGACTTATTTCCCGAAAGGAATGAATTCAGTGAAAATTTCACCCCGTCGACTTCCAAAGAGAATGAATTTTGCGTGCGACTTATTTCCCGAAAGGAATGAATTCAGTGAAAATTTCACCCCGTCGACTTCCAAAGAGAATGAATTTTGCGTGCGACTTATTTCCCGAAAGGAATGAATTCAGTGAAAATTTCACCCCGTCGACTTCCAAAGAGAATGAATTTTGCGTGCGACTTATTTCCCGAAAGGAATGAATTCAGTGAAAATTTCACCCCGTCGACTTCCAAAGAGAATGAATTTTGCGTGCGACTTATTTCCCGAAAGGAATGAATTCAGTGAAAATTTCACCCCGTCGACTTCCAAAGAGAATGAATTTTTCGTGCGACTTATTTCCCGAAAGGAATGAATTCAGTGAAAATTTCACCCCGTCGACTTCCAAAGAGAATGAATTTTGCGTGCGACTTATTTCCCGAAAGCATTTTTATCGTGAAAAGGAAAAAAACACAGCCATCGATAACGCGCGATCTCCCAAGGTCTTCTTCGTTCTTAGCTGAGGTCTTTCTAACAATATACCATTATTGTTATGTCCCCCCTCCCGAAGGCGCGCGCGCACGCGCATTAGGTGACTCGAGTAGGTGGCCCTGTGAGCCAGAGAGAAATGCCTCTTCGTCTCGCCTCCGTGAAATCAGAGGCAGTGGGAATATGGCATCACAAACCTTCCAACGATGTATGCTCCACGACTGAGTCACAGAGACTCCTAGGCGAAGTTGCGATGTTGCTGTGTTCAAGGTAAGCCTGTGCAAAGAATGATTCGTCGGGCGAGGGCACTCATTTGGAGACTCTCTAGTGCTGTATATATTATTTGAATCGGGTTCACTCCCACAACGTAACGAAGGCTTTTCGACTGCGGGCGAGTCGATTTCAACCTTCTTCTCTTTGCGCAATATTCGTTCGTTCGTTCGTTCGTTCGTTTGGAAGATTTCGCACCTCGTCTGCGAGGCCGCTTCGATTTCGATTCGATTCGTGGCGCACACGACGCCGGCCACATGTGGACGAACGCGCGAGTGCAAAAAAACCAGCAATCGATCGACTCTGAGAACGAAGCAACTCGCAAGAGAATCGAAAGCTTTTTCCGTCCGTAGATTTTTCTCTCTCTCTCTCTCTCTCTCTCTCTCTCTCTCTTCAAAAACAAGGCTTTCAGCCGCAGGGGACGAGCGTCCTGCTGACTCGAGCGACGAGTGAGTGTTTGTTTGCCTTGTTTATTTTGCTTGTACACGTCCGAGTTGTCAGATGTCCTCGCTCGGCTAAGAATAGTCGGATTTGCTTGTTCTCTTTTTTCGATTTTTGGTTTGAAATTCGTCTGGTCGTGTCTTGTTTTGTTGTGGTTTTTTTCTTGCGGGCCAGGCTGAATATTCTCATTTCCTGTGCCCATTTTCGTGCTGAAAATATTCTCGCGTTATTGTTAAATCGCCCGCCGTTTGGAACATCGTAGAGGGCTTAATTTTCTTTTCTTAATTTTCTGTAGATTTTGTCCCACGATACATTGTAATGTAAGCTTCTTTCTTTTTTTCTTTTTTTTTTTTTTTCACCCGAAGTACGGGAAACAACTTTCTATGTGGTTGGGATTTTCGAGTTACAATCTGCCATGCCATACATTCTAACTGCTAATAAGTCAAATGCTCTTACTGTAAATGAATGGAACATCGACACGGCATCCAATAAGAGACCTTTTTTGTCATGAAAAAAAATGCAAGATCGCAATAACAGTTCAGAAACAATAATTATTTCCGTTCTGGTTGCTGAATAAAGTCATGCCGATGCCACTCTGCTCTTATTTGCCATGTTTGTTTTTGTTTGTACACGTCCGAGTTGTCAGATGTCCTCGCTCGGGTAAGAATAGTCGGATTTGCTTGTTCTCTTTTTTCGATTTTTGGTTTGAAATTCGTCTGGTCGTGTCTTGTTTTGTTGTGGTTTTTTTCTTGCGGGCCAGGCTGAATATTCTCATTTCCTGTGCCCATTTTCGTGCTGAAAGTATTCTCGCGTTATTCTTAAATCGCCCGCCGTTTGGAACATGGTAGAGTGCTTGATTTTCTTTTCTTAATTTCCTGTAGATTTTGTCCCACGATACATTGTAATGTAAGCTTCTTTCTTTCTTTCTTTCTTTCTTTTTTTTTTTTTTTTTTTCACCCGAAGTATGGGAAACAACTTTCAGGTGGTTGGGATTTTCGAGTTACAATCTGCCATGCCATATATTCTAACTGCTAATAAGTCAAATGCTCTTACTATAAATGAATGGAACATTGACACGGCATCCGATAAGAGACCTTTTTTGTCCTGAAAAAAAAAGCAAGATCACGGTAACAGTCCAGAAACAATAATTATTTCCGTTCTGGTTGCTGAATAAAGTCATGCCGATGCCACTCTGCTCTTATTTGCCATGTTTGTTTTGTTTGTACACGTCCAAGTTGTCAGATGTCCTCGCTCGGGAAGAATTCAATTCAACATGGCTCTCCATGGAGATTCGATTGCTTTTCCAGCCCTGCTGCTCGAGCACTTCTTGACTTGAGGATTCCTGATAAGTGCTGACCTGAAAATTTACATTTCTTTCCAGATCTCGTTTGGTGTCCATGCCAACTACATGTGGAATGGACACGGAAAGGTTACTCAGAGGGCAAATTGGAGCTGATGGCTTCACGTCTGCGGCACCTGTTGAAGGAGAACGCAAAACTGTGACAGTGTTTAAAGCAGGCCCATCCTTGGGTCTTCACATAAAAAATGATGGTTCGGGTTATGCACTCATCAAAGGTGTCGATCCAGGAAGCATTGCGCACAAAGCTCCTGGGATCTGCATCGGGGATCGTATAGAAGCCATAAACGGCACGACTGTTGTTGGTACCGGGCACCGTGATGTAGCTGCTATGATAGGAGGGCTTCCGGTCGGAGAGATGATCGTCTTTCGGTTGATCGAGCCTGAGAGCAGCTCAGCTCCGGTAAGTCAGCTATTATGATAGAGTTACGATCTGCCATGCCATACATTCTAACTGCTAATAAGTCAAATGCTCTTACTGTAAGTGAATGGAACATTGACACGGCATCCAAAGGGACCTCTTTTGTCGTGAAAAAATACAAGATCGATCGTGGTAACAGTTCAGAAACAATTTCCGTTCTGGTTGCTGAATAAAGTCCTGCCGATGGTGTTCGAAGCCTTTGCAGACCATTTAACTTTCTCGCCGTAGTGAGAAGTAATGTGGCTCTCCGATCCTCTTTTTTTCCCCTCAGCCCAGACGCCGGCAGTTACTGAAGAGTAAGACAGTCTCCAATCCAAGTGATTTTTGCTATGGCCGTTGATAGATGAAGAATTTGCAGATTTCCAGTTCCCAGTTGATTTTATATTTGACATTTGGGGTGCAGTGTGGGATGGTAGAAGTGGAAGGTTGAAATTGTTATCAGTTTGAAAACATGTTACTTACTCCTTGATCAAAGTCCAAAGTGTTTTGTTTCACCGACACAGGTTGTCTGAATGTCGTCTGAATGAGCATGAAAAAAAATGCAAGTGCAATGAACCTTTTTTTTTTTTTGGGTTTGGCCACCTTGTTGAAATCTCTCGATTCTTTCTTTACGAGTGAGTATAGATTGGTTTGGCCACCTTGTTGAAATTTGTTCAATTCTTTACAAGTGTAGATTGAAGAGGCTAGCTCGCTAGCCTGCTAGCTAGCTAGTTAGCTAGCTGCATGGGCTGCTAACTAGATGCAGAAATCTGGCAAGGTTCTTCCTTGGCCAATTCTGAGGCTTTAACCCTTTTTTAACTCCCAATTATTAGTGATTCACATGTAACTTCTCCCTGTAATGAATATCTAAACACTGTCTGGCAAACGGGTCCCGAGAATACTCAAACTCGTACTCGAGGAGAAGTTGTTATCTGGATCTAACACCAAATTCTTGTCACTCATTTACAATTATCATGTGGCAGCCAACATGTGTGGCAGCCCATCAGATCTTGGGAGTCAAAGGCTGGTTAAAGCAAGAGATTTTAAGACCTTTTGTAAGAACGTCCTCAGAGTGTTGTGTTGGAACCAGTTTGGAAGTTACACTTTATGTGTTGTTTTTTTCCTTCGTTAGACGATTGCAACACTCTCGTGTCAGTTCATCTCACTCGAAGCGCAATTTTTTTTTTCTGTTTTTGTTTTTGTTTTTTTTAACCCTTTAACTCCAACACAGTGAGTGACCAACACAGAATTTCTCCTTACATCATCCCTACAATATCAACCAGCTAGGTGATACTGATGAGAAGAAAGAAAAATATGAATTTGTGGATGATTTAGTGGATCTGATACCAAATTCTCTGAACCAACACGATGAGAATTGTGTGGTTGGCGGTAAAAAGAATTACACATTTGGTCTGGGAGTTAAAGGGTTAATTCATGGTTAATTCATAACGCCTCAGTGGATGAAAATCCAGAGTGTTTGTTTCACCGACACAGGTTTAAGTTGTCTGAATGAGCATGGAAAAAATGCAAGTGCAATGAACCTCTTTTTGTTGGGTTTGGCCACCTTCTTGAAAGTTCTCGATTCTTTACAAGCGTAGATTGAAGAGGCTAGCTAGCTGCCAACTAGACGTAGAAATCTGGCAAGGTTCTTCCTTGGCCAATTCTGAGGCTTTAACCCTTTTTTAACTCCCAATTATTAGTGATTCACATGTAACCTCTCCCTGTAACCAATATCTAAACATTGTCTGGCAAACGGGTGGTGAGAATACTCAAACTTATACTCCAGTAGAAGTTGTTACCTCCATCCAACGCCAAATTCTTGTCACGTATCTGCAATTATTATTATTATGTGGCAGCCAATCAGATCTTGGGAGTCAAAGGCTGGTTAAAGCAAGAGATTTTAAGACCTTTTGTAAGAATGTCCTCAGAGTTTTGTGTGGGAACTAGTTGCTTAGGGTTGACACTTGATGTGTTGGTTTTTTGGCTTGCTTAGGGTTAGACAATGCAATGCAACTTTTTTATTGAACCCTTTAACTCCAACACAGTGAGTGACCAACACAGAATTTCTCCTTACATTATCCATACAATATCGACCGGCTAGGTGATACTGATGAGAAGAGAGAAAAATATGAATTTGTGGATAATTAGTGGATCTAATACTAAATTGTGCGAGCTCACATCATAAGAAAGAATTACAAATTTGATCTGGGAGTTAAAGGGTTCATTCATGGTTCATTCATATCTGTTTGTTAAATAGATTCGTCCAATAAATGAGGTATGGTGTAAATACCTCGTAGATATTGTACTGATGTCTGTCTTTATTTTCACACAACTTTTTTAAATTGGTGAGAAACAACTTTCATCTACCTACTGATTCATCGGATGATCTGCATTAGGGTTACTCACTCTCGCTCTCTCTCTCTCTCTCTCTCTCTCTCTCTCTCTCTCTCTCTCTCTCTCTCTCTCTCTCTCTCTCTCTCTCTCTCTCTCTCTCTCTCTCTCTCTCTCTCTCTCTCTCACGCACGGTGGCATCCAAAAAAAAGAAAGAAAGACCCACCCAAGAGGTCTCCAACCTCAAAAATCTGGGCCTGTCGATAACTGCTTCTCATTCTGATAAACTAGTTTCACTCACTTGAAGAAGGATACCATATTTTCATTATCATATCAATTTGATGCATGTGCTGTGCTGTGCTGTGCTGTGCTCAAAACTTTCATCCCACTGAAATTTTATGGACAATACCAATCCCTTCTCCAAAGGAGAACAACTACATTTCAAGTTTCTATCCACTACTCTGTTTACGTGTCGGTCCAACATTCATACCACTGAATGACAGCTTCAAGAAAATTTCCACATCCAATAATTTTGCTTAGGGTTAGCCTACCTTGTTGGTATACAAATTAGAACAGGTTTGTAATGATGATGCCCAAAACAGCCATCTGTGGTAAGAGGGCAGGCTTTCCTTTCTTCATTTCAAGAATTACTGGCCAGGGGTTAAATGTATTAAATGCGATCTGAATAATAAAAATAATGATATGACATGTTTCAAATGAAATGTCAATGCAAATTTTTGATCCCTGGTTTTCTTTCCTTCATTAAAAGGAGGCTGTAAATTAAATGTCAATGTTAATTTTCCTGCTTTCCTACCTGTAGGGAAAACAAGGAACCGAGTGAAGTACAAATGGAATCCTTCCCTGCCTGGGAAAAAAAGGTGAGTCCATTCATAAAATCAAATCAGCCAGCATAATAATTATTGATCACTCGCTCCAATAGTTTTAAAAACAATCCTTCCAAGAGGTATATATATATCAAGGTAACCACTTGTGCCTGATATGTCTGATGATTCTCACTACCTGTTTGCTGAATAATGTATGGATATTATAGGGACAGGTTACACACAGGTTACATCATTCCATCGCCTCTCTCTCTCTCTCTCTCTCTCTCTCTCTCTCTCTCTCTCTCTCTCTCTCTCTCTCTCTCTCTCTCTCTCTCTCTCTCTACCTCTTCTCTCCACTGCCTATTGGCATTTTTGGCAGAAACTTCATATTTTTAGCAATCTCATTTAGTAATAGTAGAAATGATAATACAATATCCAATATCCAATATACAATATACAATATTCAATATGCAATATCAAGCAGACAAGTGATGAGATCAAAGAAAAATAGAATAGAAGGGAACTTAAGTTGATCCAATAGCAAATTCTCCAAGCCAACATCACCAGAACTGTATGGCTGACAGTAAGGAGAATTACTATCCAGATCTTGGGAGGGAGTAAAAGGCATCATTAAAAGGAGGCTGTAAATTCAATGTCAATGTTAATTTTTTCTGCTTTCCTTCCTGTAGGCAAACCAAGGAACAACTGAAGTACAAATTGAATCCTTCCCTGGGAAAAAAAGGTGAGTCCATTCATAAAATCAAATCAGCCAGGGTATTAATTATTGATCACTCGCTCCAATAGTTTTAAAAACAATCCTTCCAAGAGGGATATCTATCAAGGTAACCACTTGTGCCTGATATGTCTGATGATTCTCACTACCTGTTTGCTGAATAATGTATGGATATTATAGGGACAGGTTACATCTAGTGTCAAACACTAACGGGAGTTCAAGGGTTAACCCTTTAGCTCCCAGATCAAATTTGCACCTCTCCTCACTGTCAACCATACAATCCTTCTGATGGTAGTTACTTGGTAGAATTTAGTATGGCATCAACCAATGGTCCCCAAATTGAGATGATGTTCCGGATTCTCATCACTCCTCCTGTTGATACTGTCAGTATTGATATCACTTGTTGGTATACAAATTAGAACAGTTTTGTAATGATGACCTGTGGTAAGAGGGCAGGCTTTCCTTTCTTCATTTCAAGAATTACTGGCCAGGGGTTAAAATGCATCAAATGCAATCTCAATAATAATAATAATAATAATGATGATATTACATGTTTCAAATCAAATTTTTTGTCAATGCCAATTTTTGATCCCTGCTTTTCTTTCCTCTAGGCCAAGCAAGGACCAAGTCCTGCACATCCACCTAGTGACTCAGGTATGAATAACAATCAATTGTTCCCAAAGTGCCCCACTGAAAACAGACCATTGAAAAAAAAAACATCATTCTACTACCTGCTGGTCTGGTCTATGTCCCTCCTTGACCTCTGCACAAACAGTGCCCTGCCTTACCCCTGGCTAGCCACGCTGCTCGCTTTGCGACGCGCGCCAGCGCTTGTGGGGCCTGTGGCTCCGGCCTCAACAGTTTGCCGTCACCAACCGGCCGGCGGTTTAGGACCGACAGCCCCTCAAAGTTTCACCTCTGCAGCTACAACTTGTGAGCATTTCTTCCACTGTCCTGCACTGATCATTCCATCGCCTCTCTCTCTCTCTCTCTCTCTCTCTCTCTCTCTCTCTCTCTCTCTCTCTCTCTACCTCTTCTCTTCTTCTCTCCACTGCCTATTGGCATTGTTGGCAGAGATTTCATGTTTTTAGCAATCTCATTTAATAATAGTAGAAATGATAATACAATATCCAATATCCAATATCCAATATCCAATATCCAATATCCAATATACAATATACAATATACAATATGCAATATAAAGCAGACAAGTGATGAGATCAAAGAAAAATAGAATTGAAGGGAACTTAAGTTGATCCAATAGCAAATTCTCCAAGCCAACATCACCGGAACTGTATGGCTGACAGTAAGGAGAATTACTATCCAGATCTTGGGAGGGAGTAAAAGGCATCATTAAAAGGAGGCTGTAAATTCAATGTCAATGTTAATTTTTTCTGCTTTCCTTCCTGTAGGCAAAACAAGGAACCGAGTGAAGTACAAATTGAATCCTTCCCTGGGAAAAAAAAGGTGAGTCCATTCATTAAATCAAATCAGCCAGCATAATAATTATTGATCACTCACTCCAATAGTTTTAAAAACAATCCTTCCAAGAGGTATATCTATCAAGGTAACCACTTGTGCCTGATATGTCTGATGATTCTCACTACCTGTTTGCTGAATAATGTATGGATATTATAGGGACAGGTTACATCTAGTGTCAAACACTAACAGGAGTTCAAGGGTTAACCCTTTAGCTCCCAGATCAAATTTGCACCTCTCCTCACTGTCAACCATACAATCCTTCTGATGGTAGTTACTTGGTAGAATTTAGTATGGCATCAACCAATGGTCCCCAAATTGAGATGATGTTCCGGATTCTCATCACTCCTCCTGTTGATACTGTCAGTATTGATATCACTTGTTGGTATACAAATTAGAACAGTTTTGTAATGATGACCTGTGGTAAGAGGGCAGGCTTTCCTTTCTTCATTTCAAGAATTACTGGCCAGGGGTTAAAATGCATCAAATGCAATCTCAATAATAATAATAATAATAATGATGATATTACATGTTTCAAATCAAATTTTTTGTCAATGCCAATTTTTGATCCCTGCTTTTCTTTCCTCTAGGCCAAGCAAGGACCAAGTCCTGCACATCCACCTAGTGACTCAGGTATGAATAACAATCAATTGTTCCCAAAGTGCCCCACTGAAAACAGACCATTGAAAAAAAAACATCATTCTACTACCTGCTGGTCTGGTCTATGTCCCTCCTTGACCTCTGCACAAACAGTGCCCTGCCTTACCCCTGGCTAGCCACGCTGCTCGCTTTGCGACGCGCGCCAGCGCTTGTGGGGCCTGTGGCTCCGGCCTCAACAGTTTGCCGTCACCAACCGGCCGGCGGTTTAGGACCGACAGCCCCTCAAAGTTTCACCTCTGCAGCTACAACTTGTGAGCATTTCTTCCACTGTCCTGCACTGATCATTCCATCGCCTCTCTCTCTCTCTCTCTCTCTCTCTCTCTCTCTCTCTCTCTCTCTCTCTCTCTCTCTCTCTAACTCTACTCTTATTCTCTTCTCCACTGCCTATTGGCATTGTTGGCAGAGATTTCATGTTTTTAGCAATCTCATTTAATAATAGTAGAAATGATAATACAATATCCAATATCCAATATCCAATATCCAATATACAATATACAATATACAATATGCAATATAAAGCAGACAAGTGATGAGATCAAAGAAAAATAGAATAGAAGGGAACTTAAGTTGATCCAATAGCAAATTCTCCAAGCCAACATCACCGGAACTGTATGGCTGACAGTAAGGAGAATTACTATCCAGATCTTGGGAGGGAGTAAAAGGCATCATTAAAAGGAGGCTGTAAATTCAATGTCAATGTTAATTTTTTCTGCTTTCCTTCCTGTAGGCAAACCAAGGAACCGAGTGAAGTACAAATTGAATCCTTCCCTGGGAAAAAAAGGTGAGTCCATTCATTAAATCAAATCAGCCAGCATAATAATTATTGATCACTCACTCCAATAGTTTTAAAAACAATCCTTCCAAGAGGGATATCTATCAAGGTAACCACTTGTGCCTGATATGTCTGATGATTCTCACTACCTGTTTGCTGAATAATGTATGGATATTATAGGGACAGGTTACATCTAGTGTCAAACACTAACAGGAGTTCAAGGGTTAACCCTTTAGCTCCCAGATCAAATTTGCACCTCTCCTCACTGTCAACCATACAATCCTTCTGATGGTAGTTACTTGGTAGAATTTAGTATGGCATCAACCAATGGTCCCCAAATTGAGATGATGTTCCGGATTCTCATCACTCCTCCTGTTGATACTGTCAGTATTGATATCACTTGTTGGTATACAAATTAGAACAGTTTTGTAATGATGACCTGTGGTAAGAGGGCAGGCTTTCCTTTCTTCATTTCAAGAATTACTGGCCAGGGGTTAAAATGCATCAAATGCAATCTCAATAATAATAATAATGATGATATTACATGTTTCAAATCAAATTTTTTGTCAATGCCAATTTTTGATCCCTGCTTTTCTTTCCTCTAGGCCAAGCAAGGACCAAGTCCTGCACATCCACCTAGTGACTCAGGTATGAATAACAATCAATTGTTCCCAAAGTGCCCCACTGAAAACAGACCATTGAAAAAAAAACATCATTCTACTACCTGCTGGTCTGGTCTATGTCCCTCCTTGACCTCTGCACAAACAGTGCCCTGCCTTACCCCTGGCTAGCCACGCTGCTCGCTTTGCGACGCGCGCCAGCGCTTGTGGGGCCTGTGGCTCCGGCCTCAACAGTTTGCCGTCACCAACCGGCCGGCGGTTTAGGACCGACAGCCCCTCAAAGTTTCACCTCTGCAGCTACAACTTGTGAGCATTTCTTCCACTGTCCTGCACTGATCATTCCATCGCCTCTCTCTCTCTCTCTCTCTCTCTCTCTCTACCTCTTCTCTCCACTGCCTATTGGCATTGTTGGCAGAAATTTCATGTTTTTAGCAATCTCATTTAATAATAGTAGAAATGATAAAACAATATCCAATATCCAATATACAATATACAATATTCAATATGCAATATCAAGCAGACAAGTGATGAGATCAAAGAAAAATAGAATTGAAGGGAACTTAAGTTGATCCAATAGCAAATTCTCCAAACCAACATCACCGGAACTGTATGGCTGACAGTAAGGAGAATTACTATCCAGATCTTGGGAGGGAGTAAAAGGCTTCATTAAAAGGAGGCTGTAAATTGAATGTCAATGTTAATTTTTTCTGCTTTCCTTCCTGTAGGGAAACCAAGGACCAACTGAAGTACAAATTGAATCCTTCCCTGGGAAAAAAAGGTGAGTCCATTCATAAAATCAAATCAGCCAGCGTATTAATTATTGATCACTCGCTCCAATAGTTTTAAAAACAATCCTTCCAAGAGGGATATCTATCAAGGTAACCACTTGTGCCTGATATGTCTGATGATTCTCACTACCTGTTTGCTGAATAATGTATGGATATTATAGGGACAGGTTACATCTAGTGTCAAACACTAACAGGAGTTCAAGGGTTAACCCTTTAGCTCCCAGATCAAATTAGCACCTCTCCTCACTGTCAACCATACAATCCTTATGCTGGTAGTTACTTGGTAGAATTTAGTATGGCATCAACCAATGGTCCCCAAATTGAGATGATGTTCTGGATTCTCAGCACTCATCCTGTTGATACTGTCATTCTGTCCAGGTCACTTGCGGTAGTCAAAGGGTTATTAGCAGCTGTCACATCGCCTCGCCTGCAGGTAAATATGGTCAATGACATTACTAGATTTCTGGATTATACCATCCATTTACCCGTCTACGTAACATTTCCCCCACTGAACAAACAAGAGCCTGTCGTTCGCCTGACAGGCCATGATCACCATTGCGCTACGCGCGCAGGCTTTCTGGGTGCCTGGGGCTACCACCTCAACAGTCTGCCGCAAGCCTGCGACCAGCGCTATGGAAATGACAGCCACCAGAAACTTTTAACTCCATCCATCATTATCACATCAACCCTTGACATTAATTCATTCCTCCTTTGCAGCTGAATTTCATTCAAACACTTTGGATTAGTTATTATTGCTTCAAAAAGTGCAGGAATTCAGTGTGAAGCTAGCTTGGGTTTTAAGGAATTTTCATACTTTTTTTATCAGCGTCAACAGATGAGCAAAATTCTCTCTTTTCTTCAGTTGCAGCAGGTAACATGCAAGGGCAGGAACGGTGCTGGTGTGATGTAGCTATCAAGTGCATCCATCAAGGTTGAATGTGTGCAGTCAGTGATCACTGGAGATTTTTTCCCCTTCGAAACAATACTGCCTAACCAAATGGAGTAGACAAGAAAAGTTTTGATACATTTATTGGTATTGTTGTTGAAAATAAAGACTGATGCCAAAATTTAGATTCAAAGGAGTGTGTGGTTTTGTCCTTTGTCTTTGTGTAGGTAATTGGATGATCTCTAGTGATATTTGACCTAAATACCTGCAGTGATATTTCGAAATTGTTATGCGTAATTTCACCAGCTGTTAGGCCAGTGGCATTTGAGGCAATTTTGAAATATCACCAGTGGTATTCATGCCAAACATCACGTACAAATTATGCTGTTATTCGTTTCCACCACTACCCGAGTTTAGTTTGTAATTTCACAATGTAGGTATTTGGCTTAAATTAAGCTGAAACACCACTGCTCTAAGCCAATCAAATCGCAGAAATTTCTCATGTGCTAGTATACGGGCATTAAAAGCGGACAGTGCAACCTCCATGTATGAAACCCTTTCACTCCCAAGATCTGATTAGTAATTGTCCTTACTATCTGCCATACAACTCTTATGATGTGAGTTCAAAGAATTTGCTATTGGCTCAACTACCAATCCCATGATTGATGTTCTTCTCCATTCTCGTCACCTGCCTGCTTGATATTGTATTCATACTGTAGGGAGAAATTCTGTCTTGGTCACTGGGTTTTGACCTGTGGCCTTTATTTTATTTCGCCAATTTGACAGGCACGTTTTCTGTGATTTGAATTTCCTCTAGGAGTATTTCATTTTCCCAAGCATTTTGATTTTCGCACCAATAATTTTTTTACATTTTGGAGCGCGGGCTCAACTCTCTGCACACACCCCAGTACCCCCTCGGTGTCCAAATGGAAACAAACAAAACAGATGGCGAAGGAAGTGAGTAGATGTCAAAGACTTTCAGTTTAAGACTCGTAGAACCAACCTTCTGAGGCTTATTCTGCTCGTTAAACGGAGAGTATTTTCCCGACGATCGGTCCATTTTCTAAAGGAAGGTCGCAAGTGCCTGTCAAATATCCCAGGCATTTTTGCTTCGTTTTGTGTATTTTGGTAGAAACTCGTACGTCGAAGGAACGCGCTTTAAAAGTGTATGAATCCAGAGCTACACATATTTACAGTTGAGGGTGACAAACTGAACGGATTTACCCAGTCGTTTGGCATGCTGTTGCACCCTAACCCTAACCCTAACCCTAAGCAAATCCAAAGGCCCTAACCCTAACCCTAACCCTAACCCTAACCCTAACCCTAACCCTAAAACCCTAACCTTAGGGTTAGGGTTTAGGGTTAGGGTTAGGGTTAGGGTTAGGGTTAGGGTTAGGGCCTTTGGATTTGGCTTTGGGATTGGGGTTTAGGGATTTGGGATTTTGCTTAGGGTTTGGACCTTAGGGTTTTGGATTTTGCCTTAGGGTTTATGTCTTAAGGTTTTGGGATCTTTCTTAGTTGCTTAGGTAAAGGGTTTTGAGATTTTTTTTAGTCTTTGGGGGTTAGGCTTTTGAGATTTTTCTAAGGGCTTAGGCCTTGGGTTTGGGCTTTAGGGTTTTGAGATTTGGGCTAGGGTTTGGGGCTTAGGGATTTGGGTTTAGGGTTTTGGGATTTGGCCTTGGGGTTGGGGCCTAGGGTTCTGGGATTTGTCTTTGAGTTTGGAGTGTAGGGATTTGGGATTTGGCGTAGGGTTTGGGGCTTAGGGTTTTAGCATTTGATTTAGGACTTAGTGTTTTGGTATTTTGCTTAATGTTTAGGGTTTTGGGATTTCGCCTAGTGTTTGGGGCTTTAAGTTTTTGGCTTAGGGTTTTGGGATTTGGCCTAGGGTTTTGGGATTTGGCTTTAGGTTTGGGGTGGTGGGATTTGGGATTTGTCGTAAGGTTTGGGGCTTAGGGTTTTGGGATATGGCTTTGGTTTTTCTGGATTTTGCTGAATGTCTAGGGTTTTTGGATTTAGGTTAGGGTTTAGGGCCTAGGGTTTGAGGTTTAGGGCTTTGGGATTTGCCTTAGGGTTTTAGGTTTTTTCCTCAGACTTGAGGTCTTGGGATTTGGCTTAGGGTTTGGGGCTTGGGGTTTTGGGATTCGGCTTTGGGTTTGGGTGGTTTTGGGATTTGGCTTAGGGTTTTGGGATTTTGCTTAATGTTTTGGGTTTAGGGTTTTGAGATTTAGCTTAGGGTTTTGGGATTTGGCCTAGGGTTTGGGGTCTAAGGATTTGGGATTTTGCTTAGGGTTTGGTGCTTAGGCTTTTGGGATTTGGCTTAGGGTTTTGGGGATTTTTTTAGGGCTTAAGTTTTTGGGATTTTACTTAATGTTTTGGGTTTAGGATTTTGAGATTTAGTTTAGGGTTTTGGGATTTGTCCTAGGGTTTTGTGCTTGGGCTTTTGGTATTTAGCTTAGGGTTTTGGGTTTAGGCCTTTGGGATTTGCCTTAGGGTTTTAGGTTTTTTCTTAAGGTTTGAGGTTTTGGGATTTGGCTTAGGGTTTGGGGCTGATGGTTTTGGGATTTGGCTTTGGGATTGGGGTTTAGGGATTTTGGATTTGGCTTAGGGTTTTGGGATTTGATTTAGGGCTTAGGGTTTTGGGATTTTGCTTCATGTTTTGGGTTTAGGGTTTTAAGTTTTAGCTTAGGGTTTAGGGTTTTGGCCTAGGGTTTGGGGTCTAAGGATTTGGGATTTGGCTTAGGGTTTGGTGCTTAGGCTTTTGTTATTTGGCTCAGGGTTTGGGGCTTGGTGCTTTGGGATTTGGCTTAGGGTTTGGATTTAAAGTTTTGGGATTTGGCCTAGGGTTTGGGACTTAAAATTTTGGGATTTGCCTTAGGGTTTTGGGATTTTGAGTAGAGTTTTGGGCTTAGGGCTTTGGGATTTGGCTTAGGGTTTTAGGTTTTTGCCTAGGGTTTGAGGTTTAGGGTTTTGGGATTTGGCTTGGGGTTTGGGGCTGATGGTTTTGGATTTGGCTTTGGGATTGGGTTTTAGGGATTTTGGATTTGGCTTAGAGTTTTGGGATTTGGTTTAGGGCTTAGGGTTTTGGGATTTTGCTTCATGTTTTGGATTTAGGGTTTTAAGTTTTAGCTTAGGGTTTAGGGTTTTGGCCTAGGGTTTGGGGTCTAAGGATTTGGGATTTGGCTTAGGGTTTGATGCTTAGGCTTTTGTTATTTGGCTCAGGGTTTGGGGCTTGGTGCTTTGGGATTTGGCTTAGGGTTTGGATTTAAAGTTTTGGGATTTGGCCTAGGGTTTGGGACTTAAGGTTTTGGGATTTGCCTTAGGGTTTTGGAATTTTGAGTAGAGTTTTGGGCTTAGGGCTTTGGGATTTGGCTTACGGTTTTAGGTTTTTGCCTAGGGTTTTGGGATTTGGCTTGGGGTTTGGGGCTGATGGTTTTGGATTTGGCTTTGGGATTGGGGTTTAGGAATCTTGGATTTGGCTTAGGGTTTTGGGATTTGGTCTAGGGCTTAAGGTTTTGGGATTTTGCTTTATGTTTTAGGTTTAGGGTTTTGAGATTTAGCTTAGGTTTTAGGGTTTAGGGACTTGGCCTAAGGTTTGGGGTCTAAGCATTTAGGATTTGGCTTAGGGTTTGGTGCTTAGGCTTTTGGGATTTGGCTTAAGGTTTGGGGTTTTGGGATTTGGCTTAGGGTTTGGGCTTAAGGTTTTGGAATTTGGCCTAGGGTTTGCGTCTTAAAGGTTTGGGATTTGCCTTAGGGTTTTGGGATTTTGAGTAGAGTTTTGGGGTTAGGGCTTTGGGATTTGGCTTAGGATTTTAAGTTTTTTCCTAAGGTTTGAGGTTTAGGGACTTGGCTTAGGATTTGGGGCTGATGGTTTTGGGATTTGGCTTTGGGATTGGGGTTTAGGGATTTTGGATTTGGCTTAGGGTTTTGGGGTTTGGTTTAGGGCTTAGGATTTTGGGATTTTGTTTAATGTTTTGGGTTTAGGGTTTTGGGATTTAGCTTTGGGTTTAGGGTTTTGGCATAGGGTTTTGGGATTTGGCCTAGCGTTTGGGGTCTAGGGATTTGGGATTTGGCTTAGGGTTTGGTGCCTAGGCTTTTAGGATTTGGCTTAGGGCTTGGGGTTTTGGAATTTGGCTTAGGGTTAGGGTGGTTTTGGGATTTGGCTTAGGGTTTGGGACTTAGGGTTTTGGGAATTGGCTTAGGGTTTTGGGATTTTGCGTCGAGTTTTGGGTTTAGGGCTTTGTGATTTGGCTTAGGATTTAAGGTTTTGGCCTAGGGTTTGAGGTTTAGGGTTTGGGGCTGATTTTTTTTGGGATTTGGCTTTGGGATTGGGGTTAAGGATTTGGCTTAGGGTTTGGGTCTTAGGATTTTGGGATTTGGCTTAGGGTTTGAGTCTTAAGGTTTTGGGATTTTGCTTAGTGTTTTGGATTAAGGGTTTTGGGATTTTGCTTGGTGTTTTGGGGTCAGGGTTTTGCGATTTGGCTAAGGGTTTAGAGTTGCGTAGGGTTAGGGGCTTAGGGTTTTGGGATTTGGCCTAGGGTCTGGGTCTTAGGGTTTTGGGATTTGCCTTAGGGCTTAGGGTTTTGGGATTTGGCTCAGTGTTCGGGGTTTAGGGTTTGGGATTTGGCTTAGGGTTTAGGGTTTTGGGTTAGGGTTTTGGGTTTTGGCTTACAGTTTTGGTTTACGGATTTGGTTGTAGGTTTTAGGGTGTGGGGTCTTGGGTTTTAATGTTAGGGGTTTTGGCTTAGGGATTTGGGATTTGGATTTTGGGTTAAGAGTTTTTGGTTTAAGGTTTAGGATTTTCGTTTGAGCTTTAGGGTTTTTGAGTTTCGTTTTGGGGTTTGATTGTATGGGTTTAAGGTTGAGGGTCTAAGGTTTTTTGGTATAGGCATGTGGGTTTAGGGTTTTGGGTTAGGAGTATAGGGTTTTGGGATGTGGCTTAGGGTTTTGGGTTAAAGCGTGTTGGTTGCTTAGGGTTTTACGTTCAGGGTTTGGTTAAGGTTTTGGGACTTGGCTTAGGGTTTTGGGTTTAAGGTTGTGGGATTTGGCTTAGGGTCTTGGTTTTAGGGCTTTGGGATTTGCTTTAGGGTTTTGGGTTTAGGGCTTTGGGTTTAGGGTTTTGGTTTAAGAGTATAGGGTTTTGGGATGTGGCTTAGGGTTTTGGGTTAAGCGTGTTGGTTGCTTAGGGTT